GATCATTGGCTAAGAGTGCTTGGTGCTCTTGCAGAGGACTTGAGTACAGTTCCCAACACCTACATGTGCATATCTAAACAGTCCTGATCAAGCGTGGTCCCTCCCAACACTGACCCATTATTTTCTGGGTCACCCTAAAAGGTAGTCTGACAAGGTGTACAGGAGACAAGGTCCCCATCTGGCTAGGGCCTTTTACTTCTCCCACAATAATATTCATGGGGAAATTTCTATTTCTTGTGGTTCATTCTTTCAATAGTCTGATAGGGAGGTTAGAGGTCCAGTGTCTCTTTGAAATGTCTTCATTTCTGTCTTTTATTATCATAATTCAATCTAGGAATAGCGTTCCATTGTAGATCTGGATTTGGTTATGTGTGACTCACTGCTGTGCACACGTGCTTTCTCTTCCTTTCCTGATACTGTTATGAAGAAATGCTATGGCAATAGCCTCTTGACTGAGTCAGAGTTATGATTCTCTTGATAAGGAGTAGGTTATGAAGGGCTGTGCGTGGCTGAAGGTGTCTGTTGTCAGGTGCCACAATCAGTCATATCACTCTCAATAGCCTAATTGCTTCTTGTTTATGTTTGAAATTATGCAGTGAGATCTATCTTGCCTTTTTTTCCTGCCTTTATTTTATTTACCTGCATCTTTTTCAGTACTCTGAAGTCCAGTGAACTGCTTTATGTGTTCACTGAAAGCAGATCCTCACGCTTGCCTGGAAAGTCCAGTGAACAGCTTTATGCATGAATGTGTTGGGCAAACAGAGGCTCTTTGATAGTTTTCATTTTCCAAGACACTATCACAATGCGCAGGTCACTTTCAGTGTTTGTGTAGGAACCATTAACAGTGTCCAGAGTTTTCCTTTTTTTTTTTTTCTTCTCTTCCTTCTCATTCTCTCACTCAACCTGGAACTTGATGGCTGACCAGCAAACCCTAGTGATCTTCTTATGTCTGCCTTCTCAGCACTGGGATTACAGTGCACTCAACTGCAAGTGCCTTTTTAGATGGGTGCTGGAGATCTGCTTTCAGATCCTCATGCTTGCCTGGAAACCACTTCACCCACGGCACCCTCACACCAGGCTTCTTCGTGTTCTTTTTCATTCATCCGGTATAGACACTCCCTCACAAACGTGCCCAGAAGTTGGTCTCTTAGGCGATTCTAAATCCCATCAAGTTGACAATCAAGATTAACCATCCCCACCATTCATAACAGTTGGTACTCTATTAAAATCCAGAGTTCAGAAAATATATTGTCCATAGTGTAATCCAAGGCAAAACAAACTTGGTGTCACACACATATACCCCCCCCCACATATATACATACGTATACATATATATTTATTTTTTTGAGACAGGGTCTCCCTGTAACCCCAGTTGGTATGGAACTCACAGTGTAGAGCAGGTTGGCCTTAATCTCACATAGATCCACCTGCCTCTCCCAAGTGCTGGGATTAAAGGCATGTACCACCACACTCAGCTCCACTTATATTTTATAAAAGATACTTTTTTACTGTCACTCATTCCCCACACATTCCCTGTCTTTCATTTTGTTTCTTTTGGTCTAATTCCTTGCCTCCACTGAAATTAGAGAATGGGTTACAGAAATTTTAAAGTAAACACAGTTGTGAATTACATAAACCTAGCTAGTCAAATGTCTCAGTGGGAGTGTTACAGGAAAGCTTTCTTACTCCAGCCACCATGGATACTGGGATGAATCAATGTAAGCAGATTGATTTTTCTCAGGTCTTTAAATGCTTAAGCTGGTACCTGGCCTTTGCTGTATCTCTTACTTGTAGGTAATAGCTGGGAATTGCAGGTGAAGGAATACAACTTATCAACTAGTTTATGCTACACCCCCCGCCATGATTCATTGGATGTGTCTGAAAATGCCAGTTGGAAAATATATTCGTGGGATTAGGAATGAGCACGTCTTGCCTGAAATCTTGTGGTTTAGCTTTAGTGCTTAAGAGAGTCAGGCCGTGTCTTTGAAATATTGAGCTGGCTGACAGCTTAAAATCCGAAGTTTCCTTTTAACTTGAGCCCAGCTTTGGAGGAAAAAGGGGTAGTGCGGGGCTGGATTTTATATAAGGCTCTCCAAAGAGAATTCACTTAAGTATGTTTGCTGGCAGGGCACTGGGAACTCCTCACCCTCCTCCCTAAGTTCTGCTGTCAGTGCATATCAACAGTGGGTCAGATAACTGACATCAGGCCCTCTGAAGTCTGTTGTGGGCCTTGTTAAAAAAAAAATCATCATTTTCCTTTCATGAATAATCACATAAAATGGCCTAAGTGACGTGTCTAGGTTTTGTTAAGCTGTTTATGTTTTTAGGAACAAATCTTGATAATCTTTTACAAATTTTATTACATTTATTTATTTGTGTATATGGAGCTCACACTTCCAGAACTTGCTTTTCTACTTCAACCATGTCTGTTCTGGGAACCGAAGTCAGATCATTGGACTTGGCAGCAAGCTCCCTTATACACTGAGTCATCTGGTTCTAAACCTTGATATTCTTATATCCTTTATTACTAGCTAGGTGTGTATGGGTTTTTATAAATGTCTGATAACATCAGCTATCACCTCAGATCTACTAAAGATACTCAGAATAGTAATATACTGCAAAGTCATGACAAGTGTGGTCTCTGTGAACCTCTAAAGGGGTAATGAGCATTAAAACAGAGAGCAAACTACAACATAGCCTTGGGGCTTGATTCTTGTTGACATTTTCCCCATCTCTGAGCACAGTGAGTCCTCTGTTTCTTCATCTATGCTTTGAAGGTGAATCTATCTGTCCACCATTACAGAACCTTTGAAATAAGAGGTCTTGTTTTGTTTTTGAGACAGGACCTCAGGTATCCCAGGCTGGCTGGCCTTGAACTCACTATGTAGCCAAGGATGACCTTGAACTCCTAATCCTCCTGCCTTTACTATCCAAGTGCTGGGATAAGAGGCATGTACCACCATGCTAGGTTTAGGAGATGCTGAGGTTCAAACAGGGCTTTGTGGGAGTACTCTATACCTGAGCTACTTTATTACCAGCCAGGAATAAGAGTTTGATACTGGGATTGGACAGATGACTCAGTAGTGAAGAACATTGGCTGCTCTTGTAGAGGATGCTGGTTTGGTTCCCAGCACCCACATGGTGGCTAACAATAATCTGTAACTCAGTTCCAGGGGATCCAATGTCTTCTTCCAATGTCCTCTTCTAACTTCCTTGGGCATTGCACTACATGAGTGTACTTATATACATGTAGGCAAAATACTTATACACATAAAATAAAAATAAAGAGTTCTAATATTGCTTATGAATCAAAGCACCTACTCTACATGCAGGTTTGATTGTCAGTATGACTGTTGTATTATCTTAGTCAATGAGATCTCACATTAAAAGCATAACAAGGGGCTGGTGAGATGGCTGAGCAGGTAAGGGTGCTTGCTGCCAAGTCTAGTGATATGAGTTCAATCCCTGGTACTCATGTGGTGGAAGGAGAGAACTGACTCCAAGTTGTCCTCTGACTCTCACACCGGCAAAATTGCACATGTGAGCATACACACACACGCACACACACACACACACACACACACACACACGTGCAATTCTAAAAAAGCATAATAAGGTGTGAGTAATGGTACAGTCTTCCAACGGGGCTTCATCCCTAGTCCCTCCTGTAAGATCCCCTTTACAAAGAGTTAAAAGGTTACCACTTTGAAAAGACAATATTCTGACCTTTATTCCACAGTAAGAAGAATAGGTATATGCAGCTTGCATCTGAATAAGCTTAGAATTAGTGAATTTCACATTAGTGGAAGGGAAAACTCGGTACTTAAAGGGCTCAAGAGGCTAGAAAGTAAAATTAGCACACTTTCTGAGCTCTATTAGAGAAGACTTCTTGGAGAAAGGGGGTTTAAAAGAAAGCAATAAAAACAGCTTTGTAAAGAGGTTGAAAATAGGAATGATCCATTTTGGGATTTGCAGAGAGCTGAGTGAGGTCTGAAGTTTGGTTTGGTCAGACATACTACGGGCCTGGGAATTGTAGCTCAGCTGGTAGAGTGTTTTCCTAGCATGCATAAGGCTCCAGGTTCAGTCCTCAGCACCACATAAACCAGGTATGATGGTTCACACCTCTAATCTTAGAACTTAGGAGAAGGAGGCAGGAGGATCAGAAGTTCAAAGTCATTCTTGGTTACATAATGAATTTTAAGTCATCCTGGCCTATATGAGACTCTGTCTAAAAAGGAAACTATTTAGGATGTTAAAGGAGTGAGATGGATGCTGGAGAATTAGAAATCCAAGTCATTTTTGGCTGCATAATAAGTTTTAAGCCATCCTGTGTTATATGAGAACCTGGTATAAAACAAAAAACAACCAAACCAAAAAGACAAGGTGTGGTGATGATGCTTGCCTTTAATCTCAGCACTTGGAAGGCAGAGGCAGGTGACTGTGAGATTGAGGCCAGCTTGGTCTACATAGTGAGTTCTAAGCCACCTGGGGCTACAGAGAGACCCTGTCTCAGAAAAAGGATGGAGCCGGGCGTGGTGGCACATGCCTGTAGTTCCAGCACTTGGGAGGCAGAGGCAGGCGGATCTCTGTGAGTTCAAGGCCTTCCTGGTCTACATAGTGAGTTCCAGGACAGCTGGGGCTACAGGGAGACCCTGCTTCAAAAAGACAAAAAAAAAGGTTGGAGGTGGGGAATAGATGGGGTGAAGAGATGGCTGAGCAGTGAGCAGTTAAGAGCACTTGCTGCTCTTGAAGAGGACCATTCTCAGCAGGGTGCTCACAACTACCTGTAAATCCTCTTCCAGGGGATTCAACATCCTCTTCTGGCCTCTGTGGATATCTGCACTCATGTTCACATAGACACACACATAAATTAATTTTTTTTAAAAAAAGACTAGATTGTTAAAGATCAGAATTTATAATGACAATGCTCAAAATCATGAGCCAAGAAATGCGTATGAGGATAACTGACTTTTTCCCATTTGGCTCTCTGTTTCCTTCAGCTGAAGCCGGGACAGAACAGCTGCAGGGACAGCGCCAGTGAAAGTGCCAGTGGAGAATCGAAGGGCTTCCACCGGAGCAGCTCGAGAGAGAGGCTCAGCGACGTAAGTTTAAAGGGCACGAGGCAACTCTGCAGTACCATACAGTCTCAGTGCAGGTCTCATATTAACTGCCCTTCCTTCAGTTCACTGACTTTCCTGGTATATGTGTTTGTGTCTTTCAGTTACTGTGCCTTGCCAAAATGTAGGCTGACTTAAAATGTATTTAAAAAAAATTACAGTGCTATAAAGGTGACTCAGTGGGTAAAGTGCTTCCTGTGTGACTCCAAGACCACAGTTAGGATCCCCAGAATCCAAGTAAAAGCCGATTGGGCTTGGTGTCCCATCCACAGTCCCATTAAGTGGGAGGTAGACATGGGGAATCCCTAGAGCCAGCTGACTTGCTAGACAATGCAGAACAGATAGCCCTGGGTTCAAGAGGAAACCTTGCTCAATCAAAACAGTAGCTGGGTGTTGTGGTGCATGCCTTAAATCCTAGCATTTGTCAGTCAGTCAGGTGAATCTCCTGGAGATCGAGGCCAGCCTGTTCTACATAGTGAGTTCTAGGTCTTAAAAACCCAAGATAGATAGATAGATAGATAGATAGATAGATAGATAGATAGATAGATAGATAGATAGATAGATAGATAGATAGATGATAGATAAACAAGCACATAAGTAGAGTGATCGAGGAAGACACCCAATGTCAGCCTCTGGCTGTGCACTGTCAGATACATGAGAATGCACATACACACATGCAAAAAAAAATTATAGTGCAGTTGGGAATAATTTTTGCCTAACAAACAAGAAATGGCCCATCAAAATGGGTCAATGGTAAGGGTACTTTCTGCCAAGTCTGAAGACTTGAGTTTGATTCCTGGGACCCACATTGTAGAAGGAAAGAACTCTCTTTCCCAAATTGTTCTCTGCCATTCACATAGATGAGCTGTGACATGCTCACAAATACACTAAATAAATAAATGTTGAAAAAAGAAGAGATTGCAAAGAGAGCTAGAAATACTTTAATTATGTAATACTTCCTAGTGGAATCAAAGCAGCAGGCAGAGATTTTATACCCAAGAGATGGCATCACTTTGCTATAGGCTCTTAATAATTTCTTCACCTTGCAAATCAGTAACAGTCCATTTCTATAGTTCTTTTTTTGTTATGCTTTTTTGAAAGGGATACCTACCCAGCCACTCACTTATCAAGAGAAAGAATCAGTAATCAATTTCCTGGCAGGTTTCTATGTGGGAAAACTTATAAGAACAAACCATGCCCCTCCCCTCCTCTTGACCTACCTCCTGCCTCCTGTGCACCTGCAAACCTGTCCCCCACCCCCATACACACACTTTCTACATGTTTTGAGGTTCTATAGTCTTGTTAATAAAAGGATTTAGAAATAGAGTGGAAAGGACACTCAAGGACATTTAGAGTGAGAAAAACCACAGGACAGGCAAGCTGTAAATTTCAGACTCAGGGGTCACAGCTTGTACCCAGTCAGCCAGGTTAGGCCACCTATCCTCAATAAGCAAATTAAATGTGCCAAATTAATAGTGAAAAGCCACAAAAAGGAGAATTATTCAATGTGACAACATTGGGTAGAGGCTCAGAGATACAGGGACCCCCTCAAGTCTGTCTTCAGGATCCTAACATGAAGGTAGGATTTAAATAGAATGCAAGAAATATTTATGACAGTCGTCCAGCTGAGTGTGATTCCCTGCCTACCACTGTCTCAGTGCCAGGGCTCTCCTGCCAGATTCTCTGACTAGGTGTCAGTCTTGTTACAGGAGACAAGTCTCTCTCTTGGCTGTACTCAGGACTTGAGACTTTTCTGCTCCTGAGAACTATCTACCTGCTCTAGACTCCCCTGATCCACCTCGCTGTGTTTTATTGGCTGCACCAGCACAGCAGGCCACTGTAGACTCTTGCTTGCTTCTTGCACTTGTATGATCACCCTTGCTGATCATCTTTGCCCTAGTGAGTAATGCTTGGAAGTTGACTTGGAAATAGCCTCAGTGGAAAGAAATATTTATTAATGATGTCAAGAAGGTAACATTAGCAGCGTAAGTGCAGGATGAGGGATGAGGGATGAGGGAAGGAGAGAGACAGACAGACAGATGGACAGATCAGTTTACAGTCTCCAGCCATAAGAAATAGCAGAGATAGGATCGATATTATATGTAGAAACAGTTCTTTTGCTCCAGTCTTCCTGTCCTTCTGCTCTCCAAAGCAATAATCTTCATTACAGTGTAAAAGATATGTTAATTATTAGTGATTTTTCATCATGGAAAAAGAGAAATTATACTTTTAGTTTTCAGTGTAATAAACATGGAGTGATGGATATATATAATTCTTAATCACAAGTATGTTAAGAGTATGTACTTGGAACTGTTTCTGCTAAGAATTGTCCCTTCAGATAAAAGATTGCAAATTTCTTCAGCACTGTGCCATCCCAGATGATACTATTACATTACACTCACCCATTCCATGTGATAATACTGCATTACTCTCACCCCTCTCATGTGATAATACCACATCACACTGGCCCATTCCATATAGTAATATATATTACTCTGATCCATTCTATATGAATATCCTCTATCACGCTGACCCATGGGATAATACTACATTACTCTGACCCATTGCATCTGATAATGCATTACTCTGACCCATGACATATGGTCCATTACATATGAGCACATTGCCGCTCACCATTTCATGTGACAATGCTGCACCACCTTGACTTGTTCCATCTGATTAACCACATCCCCCTGCAATAATACTGCATTACCCTGACCCATTCCAGGTGGTAATACTGCATTACTCACATTCCATCTGATAAACTTCATCACCCTGACTCACTGCATGTAGTAAACTACTCCATACTGATACAGTCCATGTGATAATTCTACATCACCCTGACCCATTGCATATGGTAATAATACATTATCCTGACCTATTATATATTACCCATCCCCATTCTATGTGACAGTAACACATCACCCAGACTCATTGCATGTGATAAACTATATTACCCTGACACATTTTATGTGATAATCCCACATTACTTGGACCCATTTTGTAATAGAACATCTCCCTGACTCCATTTGTTAATACCACATTACCCTGACCCATTCCATATGATAATGAGTACCCCACCCCTTTCCATATGATGTACTATATCACATTGACACATTCCATGTGACAATACTGCCTTACTCTGATGCATTCCATGTGATCATACTATATCATCTTGTCTCATTCCATTTGATGAACTATATCACCAGACCCCTTTCATATAGTAAAGTATATAAACCTGGCCCATTACATGTGATAATACTACATTAACTCATTCCATGTGATTAAAAAAAAAAACTGATACTACAGTACCCTAAACCAATCCATATGATAACACCCCATCCCATTCCAAATGATAAACTATATTAACTTGACACATTCTATGTAATAATACCACATTAGTATAACTATTTCATCTGATAAAATTAATCATCCAAAGCCATTTCATAGGGGAAACTTCATTATACTGACATATTCCATGTGATAATTCTATATTACTCTGGCCAATTGAGTATGATACATTATCTAGACCCATTCCACATGATAATACTACATTACTTGACTCATTCCCTCTAATAATACTACCTCACCAAGACCCATTCTATGTTACAATACTCATCACTCTGACCCATTTGATATGATAATGTTACCCTGACTTATTCCCTCTGATAATACTATATCACCCTTACCCCTCATGTGGTCTGACCCATTTCATGTGGTAATACTGCATTACTTTGATCCATTCTACATGATAATACTACATTGTTGTGACTCATTCCATCTAACACTACTGCATTATCCCAATATATTTTATATAATACATTATCATACCCAGTCTATGTGATAATACTATATTCCTAGATTCACTCCATCTGATAAACTATACCACCCTGACACATTCCGTGCAGTAATAATATATAACCTTAACACATTCTTTGTGACAATCCCATCTTCCTCATTCCATATGATAATACTACATTATTCTTAACATACATTCCATATGTTAAGCCAGCATCACTCTCGCCCATTCCATATGGCATTACACTAGCTCTTTCCATTTGATACTGCATCACCCTCACATATTCCATTTGATATTGCCATATTACCCTGGTCCACACTACATGCCAACCCTGTATTACTTGGGTGTATTCCATATGGTTATATGACATATCTTAACATATTCCATGTGATAAGACTGTATTGCCCTGACCCATTCCACATGCTAATCCTGCATTATCATGTTCCATTGTTTATGATATTGCTATTTATATCTATGACTCCATCAACCACAGTAGACAGCCCAAGACACAGCTTGTTTCCTACTCTTCCAAGTTTGTATGGTTTGTTATGTTGAACTTTGAATTCTTACATAACTTGATCAGAATAAGCAAAAATATTGTTACAGTATCCCTTAATATATTATTAAACCAAGAGTTCTACTATGAATGTATTTTTGTGAGAATGCTTGTTTTTTCCCCCATGGGTTTCATTAGTTTTGTGATAGAAGTATATAAACATAAAACAATAAGTACTTTGCTGACCTAAATTTCTAATAATTAATGCTTACATATCTCTTCTGAGATTTTGTTATGTGTTTTGTTTTTGTTTTCTGAGACAGTCTCATGTAGCCCAGACTAGCCTCAAACTTTTTATGATGACCTTGAACTCCTGATAGTACTGCCTCAGTCTTCCAAGTACTGGGATTATAAGCTATCATGGACCCACACATCCCACTTGTTCTGTCTTTAGTGTGAGATCTTACTGACTCTGACAGTTATTCCAGGGTTACTTAGTCAGATTTCCACCTGGCGTAGCGAATGGAAGCTGTGTCCGTTTAGAGAACTGTCAGTGATTAGAAGTAGTGTGTGTGTGTGTGTGTGTGTGTGTGTGTGTGTGTGTGTGTGTGTAAGCTGGGGGTGGACAAGTCTCACCTCTGAACTTACATGGTTTCATAGAAATGAGTCCCAACCTTTTCGTGCCATGGC